TGGTTCGGCCGCCCTTTCTAGATAGGTCCAACCTATCTTCTCTGATAGTACTTCTCTTAGAAATTAAAATAACTTGCAAGAGAATGCTGTTCGCTGCCTTCCAAGGTTACCCAAACCCTAGTCTTCTCTGATTGTTCCTGATTACCAACACTTTGCAACCGTGGCAAGTCTTCAACAGCTGCTAAACCCTTTGGCGATCTCCAAGAATTAGTCAACGAACTCTACTTTCTCAACTTCCAGCCCTAAATGGTTCTCATGTGGTCGGTTGGACTAGACTCACATGAGAAACCCTAACCTTGCTCTGATACCATGTAGAAGTTCAAGACTGCTATCAGCCTTCAACCCTAATAGATTTCAGGTTCGAAAATAGAAGGAAAATGTAGAGAAGAGAAGAGGAAGAGAAGAGAGAACCGTAGAACACAATGGGTTGAAAGGAGGGACAGAATCTGAATGTTTTGCCACCGCCACTTCTATTTAGTATTTATAGATTATGCTCATTACATGGAAATGACAGATCTGCCCTTAGTATTTACATAGCTGAAGAAACCTGCAGAGAGTAGACCTTGAGAGTTCGGCAATGAGGGTTTGAGAGTGAGAGTTTCGAACCATACTCTCTCTCAGCACCCTAACACTATTTTATTAAGATAGATTTGAATAATTACAAGGAGGCCCTTAGTTGGGCAAGAAATTACAAAGAACATAAATAATAAGAAAAGAATAAACAGCCTATGGGCCATTCGGCCCATCTTCTCTACAATAACAAATAGAACAAAATAAAACTGAAATAACCGACTGACCACCAGCTAACCCTAGGATGACTAGAACACATTCTACCCTACGAACACAGTGGGACCATAGCTGTGGGGCCCACATCAGTGTTCTCTACAGCTATCCATGATAATCTTCCTATGTTCCACAATCATATAAAGTATGATTTGGCTTTGGGTCAGACAATTTGATTTTGGGAGGATATTTGGGTAGGGGAAGCTCCTCTTTCGGAGGTTTTTCCTTCTCTCTTTGAGCTTTCTAAGTTTCAAAGGTAAACCAATTTGTTATTTTATCAGTTCTTCCTCATACCTTTTAAACCTGATTTGGAATCTTAGCTTCACTAGAAATCTGAAAGAATTTGAAATTTCCAATGTCTCAACTTTGCTTCTTCTGTTGAGTTCAGTGGTTTTGAATTCTCTTATCTCCACCTTCCCTTCTCCTTATTTCCCTGTTAAGGAGATATGATCTCGGCCCATCCCTCCAAAAGTCGGTGCTTTTTGTTGGGAAGTGTTTCATGGCTCCATTAACACCTGTGATTTGCTTCAAAGGAAAAGACCAAATTGGTGCTCTTTCTGGTTGTATGGTGAGACTGCCTTTCATCTTTTGATCTCCTGTCCTTTTGCTATTTCTATTTGGGAGTGGTTTTCATCTCTTTTTGGATGCAGTTGGCTTCYCCCTGATTGTCTGGAAGGTGTACTTAGCTTTCACTTTTTCAGCTGCCCTGAAAGAAGAGGCAGGATTGTGGAGATGCACTAGAGCAGCAGTGATCTGGACAATTTGGGAGGAAAGGAACCTAATAATCTTTGAAGACAAGGAAAGAAGTAAGGAAGCTGTGATTGAGGTGATTACCCTAAGAGTAGCGCATTGGGTGAGCACATTAAAGCTCTTTGCCGACTTTAAGGTAGAAGACTTCTTCAGATTGTGGGGAATAAATGCAGGTTCTTCATCTAGAAGACAGATAGTACATGAGGCCTGGTCTCCTCCATGTGTTGGGTGGAAGAAATTAAACTTTGATGGTAGCTATATGGGCAATCCTGGACCATCGGGTATTGGTGGGGTAATTTGGGATGAAAATGGAAACATTCTAGCTTTGTACTCAGGTCCTATTCAGCACGGAGATGTGGTGAGATCAGAATTATTGGCAGCAGTCTATGGAGTACAGAAAGTTAAAGAAATGGGGATTACTAAGCTGATTATTGAAGGTGATTCAAAAGTAGTTGTGGGCTGGCTGAAAAAGGGGGAAGGAATCATATGGAAGTTAATGAATGAATTCAGGAGATTCAAGCAGATTTCTAAAGACATGATGATCCAAATAAGGTGGATAAGGAGATATGCAAATAGTTTGGCTGATGGTCTAGCAAAGCAAGAAACTCAAAGACAATCTATGTTCTGGGCAGTTCTGTAAATAGTGAATAGTTTCTGTTTGGGCTTTGTTTTGTGCCCACAACTCCTTGTTGTATCTCTGTTTTTTAATCTAATGAATCAATTTTGTGTTGCTGATAAAAAAAAAAGATAGAGTAGGACAGTCCAGCTTAAAGAAATTAGGTTTTGGGTCTTTCCATTGAAGTTTACTGGTTTAGTATGGTGATAGCTGTGTTTCCTTAATTGAGAGATAGGAGGTGCTCTTTTGTTGTGGGTTTCTATTTGGAGCAATGTTGTCAGGCTCAGTGTTTTGGGGACTGGACCTTTTGATTTTTTCAAATTAAAAAAAAAATTGAAAATAGTTCTAGATTGTCTTTTAAAGCTGATCCATTTAAAAATTAGCTTAAAGTTATAAATATTGTAGGGAATAACACATGTACATGTGAACGATGTACATTTGCCCAAGTCAACATTTCTAAAAACTGGTCAACCAAAAAACAATTTCGGCTGCTGTTCCCTGGTTCTGGCAGTCCAACTTTTAGGYCCGCTCAAAGTTTGGCAACATTGATTTGGTGGTAATGTGGTGTCACAACATATGGGCTTGGTAGTCTGAGCTGTTTTGCTTTTCTCATAAGTTTTGTGAGTGGATTTCTGTTGAGGACTTTTTCGTGTATGGGAGACTCACAGAACTCATTATAGAGATGGTGGTTTAGGGGTCTGTTTTTTTCCTTCCCTCTTTTTTTTGATAATTTCCTTCCCTCTTATTTTTCCTTCATATACAATTATACATAAGCCTTGTCCCAACTATATGGGGTTGGCTACATAAATCCTCTGCTGCATATAATCAATGGTTGTAGTTTGCATTTTATATCACACTATTATCTGTTTCCTCGAGGTTTCTCTTAGATATTAATGTGATGCATATGTAGTCATTTTTCTTTATTTAATATGCATTAAAACTAATATGTCCAGGTTCTGTCTGAAGAATTGCCGACTATCATTGGTAAAATATCATTCCTGAAATCAATGCGCTGGAATTCTGAGGTATGTGCATATTCAGCTGCTTGCCTCTAGTTCTGCATTTTGATGTTTTCTGAAATGAATGTTGCATATTATTATTAAGTGTTTTTTGATCAATAACAATTAAATGTTAACCACTGCTAAATCCACCTCATCCTGCACCAAGTTGTGCAGTGCTTTATACTTGTCAAATGGGGCATTTATCATTGTATTCTTAAATTTCAGCCTTCTTATTTACCTCAGCAACCTTGTTCCAATCCCCTACTTGTTCCTTGGTTTCAATCATCATCTTCTGTTCTCAACATTCCTTACCATAGGTAGTAGTCGTCTTACCCTTAATTGACAATACTCACATCTATCAGTTGACCCTCTGCACCRGGCTTTGCTATTTTATCAATTGTTTATACCACTTCTGCAGCTTTCTCAGATTCTGATTGGAGCTCTTTCTGGTGAAGAACAACTTCTGCAACACTCTAGATACCTTCCCATTACTGACACAACTCACAATCCAAAGTAGAAAGACGACTCAATGCTGGAACAAGTTGCTTAAGAGCTTTAAGAGACGGATGACCAAATTTGCAGTGCCACTGGAGAGGAGAAAGAGATGACTAAAGAGCTGTTGACTGACCACCACCACCACCATGAAGATAATACGGTCCACCAGCTTCATGTCCTCCACCAATCTTCATCCCCGTCTTGAGATCCTGAAAGACACAAGATGAGGGGTAAAATGTGATAGAGCAATTAAGAGACTTGGTCAATTTACTACCAGACATAAGATTAAAAGGGAACATGGAAACATACAAAACTGAAGATAGAGAATGAACCAGTGTTAACATTACCGATACCACATATGGAAGAAGTGGAACCATTAGCAAGGGTAACGGAGTGCATTGTAGAGGATGAAGAAAGGGAAGAGAACACACATGGAGTTCCTGTCATATGATCGGAAGTTTCAGAATCAATGATCCAATGGGAGGGTTCGGATGCCAGACAAGCCATACCTGAGTGGGCAAGCGTAGTTGTACTCGACTGAGTAGCCTGGATCAACTGCTCATATTCATTACGTGAAGTACTCATCATCTCTTGCCCGGAGGCATTTGTAGATGGAGGTGTTTGATTAGCCTGTTGACTCTCTTGTCCCTTACCACCACTTGCCACTGCATGATTTGCCCAGGATGAAGGTGGACCATGTAGATCATAGCAAAAATTAACAGTATGTCCATCCATACCACAATGTGTAGACCTTCTCGGACCATTACTACATCCTCTACCATGAGCTCCTCTTGAATCTCGACCTCTAACACGCCCACCACCACGACTATACATGTATCCACCTCACCATGACTGTACATGTGTCCACCACTACCACCACGGCTTGGCTGAACCTGATGTGTTACTCCTCTATCACCACGACCTCCCCTTCTTGTCATTGCAAATGCAGACCTATCTGATATGGTGGGGTTCTCCGGAGGTCCAATGGAAATCCTCCGGAGACGGGAAAACACCACTTCAAGGGAAGGGAGGGCAGACCCACCTAGTATCTGTACTCTCACCGGTTCATATTTTCAATCTCACTAAAAACCTAGTTACATCAGGCTGCTCTCTCTGTTGTTGCTGAGTTTTGACATCAAATATAAGAGGGTGATACACATTTAACTCATTCCTTAGATTCCTCAAACTAGCATAGTACTCCTCAAGACTTTGATTACCCTGCTGCAAATTAAAATACTCTTGATAGAGCTGGTATACTCTAATGGTATTGTCCTGCCTTGAATAAAGTTTCTTTGCATGATCCCAAATCTCCTTGGCTGTGTCTAAGAACATGAAGTTCACACTAATCTTAGGTTCTATGCTGTTTCATAACCAAGTCATAACCTGTTCATCTTCTCGTTCCCAATCACTGTACTTCTGAGACTCAACTAGGGGTTTGTCTTCTCTCACATGCTTTACTTTCTTCTTAGCTCTGAGAAACACTTCAACAGATTTGGCCCAAGGCACATAATTCTCTCCATTTAGTTTGATGGAGGTCATTTGCACATTCAAGTAATCAGGGGCAATCATAACAGACTTGTGTTCACTACTGTCTCCCATAGCTGCCATAATTTTTTTTTTGCTTCGCACTAATATGTTACCCTACCTTACCAACAATCACCACACTGCACTCCTATAGCTGAACGATCACCATTGTTTCACTCCTACGGCTGACCATTGCTGAAACATTCACTATCACAGGTTTCAGCAATGGTAATCACCACTGTTCTCCACTTTTGGCACCACACATAAACATCACACACAAAAACATCATACCAACACTCCACACATCTGATACTAGATCTTCAACCCACCTATCTGAACCTCACATCTGAACATAGACCATGAAACTACTTTAGCAGCCCTCTTCAGTCCATCGATTAGAGGGTTTCCTACCAGCCACCTGAAACCACCACACCACAATCAATCGGAGGCATTTAGACCTCTATAAGGAAAAAACGACCACTCCTTTTCAGCCTTTTTGTCAAACTCCAAGAAACCTAAGAGAAATCTGCAAAATACTAAACTAGGGTGCGCAGAAGACTATACAGATCTGAACTGATTTAACCTAGCTCTGATACCATGATAAAGTTCAGATCTGTATATCCGTTAGTTTCAGAATACAAGAGAAAGGAAAGATAGAAAGAGGAGAGAGGAGAGAGGAAGAGAGGAGAAGAGTGAAGAGAAGGAGAGAAGAAAGAAAGACTGGTTTGAACTAGAGAGAAAAATCACACCTCTCTAGTCGGCCAGGTTATATTTATACTTGACTATATTAAACACAATTGACTCTTGTGCCCCTACTTAAGTATGGGACACATCACTTAACTCAACATTACACCTCATACTAAACATAAACAAAAAGACTAATCTGCCCCTGTATAGTCAACACTAACAGTTTATACCATTTCTGCAGCTTTCTCAGGTTCTGATTGGAGCTCTTTCAGGTGAAGAACAGCTTCTGCAACACACTAGATACCTTCCTCCAAACTTCTCCCTTCCTCCAGGAAAATAAATCAGTTGTTTCCTTCTGTTCTCAAAGTATTCGAAGGGTTCTATGAATACACCCTCTTCCATTTCCATACTACTACGCTCAACCTCCCTTTTATTGTTAATAGCCTGGTCCACAAACCACTTGAACCACCAGCAGAGCCATTGCTATCTTCTTTCTCTGATCTTCAGAGAGAGCTTCCCTTTGATTCCAGTTCCTTCAAACAGGAACTACTTTACTTTTTTTTGATAGATTAAGTGAGCATACAAATAACCTAAGAAGAGGCACGAGATGTGACCTCTTCAAAGATGAAAGAAAAAATTCACACTAAACCATAGTTTTCAAGGCATCTAGGCGATTCTGGGCGACATTGGGGCCCCTAGTCACCTAGTTGTCACTTACGCAATAAAAATTTTATAATATAAAAAAAAGCTAACTTTTGGCTAGTTCCCTAGTTTTATATACCATTCAGCATGTATATTAATTAGTAAAAATAGCAATTCTCTTTATTAAGCAGTGTTTTAAAAGTGCAAGGCACAAAAAAAGCGCAAGGGACAATTTGCGCCTGAGGCGTAAGGCGAGGCGTGCGCCTTTTTAAGAAAGGCGCAAAATTACAAAAAAAAAGCTAAAAAATAAAAAAAAAAGTCAGAAAATTCCAAAAAAATGCTAAACAATTCCAAAAAAATGCAAAAAAAGGTGCACGCTTGGGCGCACCAGGTGCCTGCCTTTTGAAAGAGGTGCGCCTAGGACCTGGGTGAGGCACATACCCCAAAATGCGCTCGCCTATGCGCCTAGGCGCACCTTTTAAATCACTGTTATTAAGAACATTAAATTTCCTCTACAAATGTGGCAAATTATCGCATCTAAAAGATAAAAATCTTTTACATATATTAATTTTATTATTTTCAAAAATAATACAACTATAATAGTTATGTAATAGAGCAATTTCATATCAATTAGCAGCTAAAGAAGGTTATTAACTTTACATGATAAATATTCAAGAAAAAAAAGGATGGAGTTTCTGTTTTATTTACTTAGAGAGAGAGAGAGAATAGAAAAAGAACCTCTTTCCTCTTTCTTTGTTTCTTTTTCTCTCCTCAAGACCCTTTGATCTTTTAAATTTCAATTGTAAAACATTAAAACAAAGTATATTGATATGTATAGCATATAATAAAATGTATTAATACATACATTAATAAGATATAGCAATATAAATGATATTATAAAAGGCACCCACCTTGTCATTTTTGTCACCTAGGCGAGCGCCTAGTCGCCTAGGTGACTCCTTGACAACTATGTACTAAACAGGAATCAGTTTACAAAGTATCCCAATACAAAGAAACCCATGAAACCCCTTGTTTAGCAAGAAAATCAGCCAAAACATTTGCTGACCTGCTAACCCACTGAAAACTGACATGTTTCTTGTAAATGATTTAACTCTTCTTAGGAGATACCTATAACCCCACTTAACAGTATCTCAATTCAACAACCAACCCACACCCACCTTAGAGTCTCCCTCAATTAACAAACTCTCCACTCCAAGGTGGTTAGCAATCTGTATTCCTTGTACTTCTGTGAGTATCTCAGCCCTTGTAGAGTCTCAAACGCCCACTGGTCCTGAGAATAAGGAAAGAATGTTGCTGTCCTTATCTCTCAAAATTCCTCCTATGCCTGAGGGTCCTGGATTACCTTGACTACTTTCATCAAAGTTCTGTTTCACAACACTCTCTGGAGGGGGAAAAAGTGGAAGCCACCGCTGCCCAATTTCTCCTGAAATCATCATGGGATTAATTTTCAAAAGGTGTGAAGTTTTCAGCCAAAGGTTTGGCATTGTCAAGATACACCCCTTTACTTCAGAGAGACTTGTTTCTTTTTTTTTTTAATGAACAATTAAGCATTTTATTAAAAAAAATTAAGATGGGTTTACAACTGATACAACATTTAGTTTTTCCATGAGGCGTGAGATGCAGCCTCGGAAAATAATATAAATTACAGAGTATCC